ATTCAGGCTCCCAGGCTTAGCTCTCTGCAAGGATGGCTGGGTATTGTAGCTGATTCTTATGCCTGGAGAGAAGAGGAAATGGAATTGGAATAGCTAGCCAAATTTAGGGTCAGAACAACAACTCACATAATGTCTGGTTTATAATACAGTCATGTAAATCGTTTTGATTAGAGTATCACTTAATGGGGATCGAAAGACCAAACTTTTCACAAATCCCCAGAAGGGACATTAAGAAAAGCTTGTGTTCAGCAGCAGGAAGCAGGTGGTGCCTTGTGAGAGGCAGGGTAACACTGATTCAGACATATCTTTCTTCTTTGTCTTCTCATGGGGGCTGACTGAGGTGGCTCAACTCTATGTGAGAGGAAGGGCCCTGCTCCCCAGTGATCAATATAGGAACCCTCTAAATGAGGGTTCAACAAGCTCAACTCACGAGCTTGTTTTGGCCTGCAGTACTTTCTAGAAAACGGTCACTCCTGGGATGTGGGGAAGAGGCCTGTAAGAAAGCAGAGCCCTGCCTGGGTGAACTTTACTAGTTTTTTTGAGAGGAGTCAGAATGTAAACCATACCATTTATATGTGGACAGTAATCTCATGGTCTAACTTGCAGACAGGAGAGATTTTGTGGTCAAGGGCTAGCCTCAGAAACAAAGTCTTGTGCATGAATAAATGATCCTGTGGTTCCTGACACATATGTGAGCATAAGGACTCATGATATGAGAGGACCATGAACCAAAGAAGCTGGCCCATTGGGTTGGTGGTGGGCACAAGAATGAAAGGCATCCAGCCTCTGAGTTAAAAGTACCTCCAAGTACCCCATAATTGCATTTTAACCAAGATTTTTTATAAATAAATATAACAATGTTGACTAGGGACTTGTTAGCTATAGGATCCCATATATTTTTAGTCATAGCAGTTTTTTTAACAGAGAAACTGCATATGGAGCCAGGGAATGATTTTGTATACTGGGAAACTTTCAAATTAAATTCATTACTCATTCTCAGTGAGTGGCCTTCATTTAGTGGTATTTCCTAAATTTCAGTGCAAACTGAAGTCCATGGAAAAGCATGTTAAAATTCCAGATCTCTGGTTTCCCAGCCCCTGCAAAAAATTCTGAACCAATAAATCTGGGGCAAGGCTTGGGACTCCAGATTTTAATACCATTCTCACCCCCCAAGAATTCTGCTTTGTAGCTAGTCCTCATGCTTTAGGAAAGACAGGCTTAGTGATTTAATAGGACTTGCTCATGTTTGTGCAAAAGTCGGTACACACGGTTTTCATGACTCTTAGCATAAGAAACTATGACATGATCAGCGTTGTCAGGAAGAGCACTTGTTCCTTTATTTATTTCAGGAAGGGCATAATGGATTTAGATCAAACCGTGAAATAACCGGCGGACACTGTAAGAAGCAACCTGACATGAACCACAGCGATTTGGTGCCTACTGTGTTCCAGGTGCTACACGGTGCACTTTATCTCTCACAGCAACCTCGCGAGGTGGGGGTTATTGATTTCATTTTAGAGTTGAGAAAACTGGAATTCCAAGGGGCTAAGTAAATTGCTAACCTTGGATGGATAGTAAGCAGCAGGGTCCAGATTTGGATCTTGCTGTGTTTGACTCCAGTGTCCTCTCGTCTGTTCTAGATCAAAGCTGCAGGCTGGGATAATGGCAGCTCATAGGAAGTAAGAGCAGGAGATGTGGGAGGAGATGGCAGGGCTAGCAGAGAACATGGGGAATGTCAGGAGGAAGAGGGCAACTGGCAGATGGGAAGACAAGTAATCTACCTTGAGTTTCTGGGGACCACAATAGGTCAAAGGGAGCATCTCTCCAAGATAGCTCCCTTAAGTTTCTGGTTCTGCTTTCTGTTGAATAGCATAAAAAATAAGTACTCTGTAAGGTGGCCATCACTGCACCTGTTGTTATGGACCAGGAATCTGAGGATTAGTGCACTTAAGCCATTAACTGAGTCACAGAATTAGTTAATGAACAATTGGGGATTATAATCCAAGTCTATCGGATCTCAGAACCCACTCTTTCCAATTCACAATATTCTCCCCCAACAGAATCCAAACAAGCATTTTCCTGACTGGTTTATTCTGTGAGATTAACAGGAGATAAGATTAGGAAGATTTGCTGTAAATTTCGGTGGTGGTGGTAAATTAGAAGCAGAAGTCAGGATCCATGGAATTGAGTAAGTGAAGGAACAGGGATTTGGGGGAATGGGCTTTGTACTAGTGAAGGAGGAGAAAGACAGGATAGGATAAAAGAAATGTACAAGGCAAGGAGAAGAAAAGGGAAGCCAAAGCAAAATGAAGAGAGAAATAGAGATAATTTGGTATTTTTTGCTTTATTAACACCATCCTTCTTAAATATGTCAGATTTTAAAAAACTTGACAGTAAAACTTTGGAAGGGATAGTGATAAAACCTGTTTCCAAATATATATACACACACACACAAATATAATATATATATTTGTATATGTGCATATATATTTGTGCATACATATGTATGTAAAATGCGTATATATTTGTGTGTGTGTATGTGTGTGTGTGTGTGTAATAAAAACACAATCACATTTTCATGGTCCTTTCATATGCTATAAGTACTGCAAAGTTAACACACCAGATGGCGGGGCACCTGTATGAGTGTGTGCCTGTTGGGAGGGTGGGTGAGGCTATTTGTGGGGTTCTATCTACCTATCAGTATGGACGTAGGAAGCAAAAGATGAATTGAGAAAATCACCATATTGAAATTGTACCTAATTTGTGTGAGTTAATAATGGGGACATAAAGCTGTATTTATTCTAGCCCATAAAAGCTAGAAAAGAAGTCTTTTATTATGAAATAATTACTTTCTCAAGGCAGGAAGATAATAGTAATTTGATGTATGAATGATTTCCTGATATTCCAAGTGAAATCCAAGGGAATTTCCAAAACCAAATATAGATTATGTTTGGCTTTCATACTGCTTCGAATGGTCTGTGACCATATTCTCTAATTAGCATTAAAAATCAAAAATTGATTATAAGAGGATCTCCAGAGGCAGGATCAAATGTGATTTTTTTTTTTCCTGAACGTCTTTGTTTTTTGATTGTTCTCCAATTAACACAGATTAGTAAACAAATTAAAGAAGATAATTGTTGCTGAATAGATATGCCAAGTCTCAAATTCCTAACAAGAACAATTCATTGGCAAATAGGTTGATGGCAGATGAGACCGAGTTTTTAGATAAAGATGATGATTTAAATCCAATTTTGATCTGAAGTCAGCTCATAAGGACCTCTGTAACTTTAATTTAGTTGAGCTTCAGTACTGGTAAGGCAAACTGAAAGATGAGTCTCAAAAATTACCATTAGTGATAAGTTTATTCCTGTAAGATAAATATCTAAGTTCTGAAACATTGATCTACAGAAATATTTTTAGCACATCTTGCTTGTGAGATGAAAAGTATGTCTCTACCATTTGCTGATGTTGACCATCATCATAGTCTTCTCTCTTACTCTATTATGTATATTCTTATATATTTCCCTCTACCAAACTCCCAAGAAAGCCAAATTACCTGGTGCCATAGGAAGCAATTTATTGAAGGCAGGACTGTTGGCAATGCTGTGACCCAGCCAAGGAGTGGCTCTAGAAAGTGACTCATTTCATATCCAATGAGAGCCAGGGGTGGGTGTGAGTGGATTGATGTCTGAGTGGTAGATGCAAACTTCTAGTGGAGGTTTCTACTTCTCCACCCAACCATTTGCTCCTTGGAGCTTTGCTGCCTCTCTATTTTACTTCCCTGCCGCTGACTCCCACCTATAGGCATCCTCTTCTTTTCTGACTCAGAATGGAAAAACTGCACCGAATGGTGAATTTTCTAGGCAGAGCTACAGCAGGGTTTTCTTCTTTGAAGTCCACTCTGCATTTCTCTGTTGGGAAGGAGGATTAACCTTCAGGGACATCCAAAGTTCAGAGTGAGGAATACAAGTATGGTTGCTCAGGTATTCCCTTCCTGTAGGTCCCTTTATGCCTTACTATCACCCATCTGCCTTAAGATTAAAATTAAGTAAGACATAATTATCCACTATTATTTTAGTTAAAAATGTAAGATTTTAAACCTACAAGTGCTTTAGTGCTAACCAATGGTGTTTCTTAAAACAAACAAGAAATAAAACAATGTCTAGAAATTGATTCCATAACCACGTCTCAAATGATAGGACTGATAATTCAGTCTGATACTGACCTTGAACTGGGATTGCTTGTCTTTTCATAGATATCTCTTTGAAATTGCCAAATCCGATGAGTTAAAAACTTAGTAAGCTTTTGAATGCATTTTTAAAACTTTTTTCAGACACTGTTTATATCAGTCATACGTATGTATATAAATATACATATGTGTATGTGTGTATATATACTATATATACGCAAAGCACATATACCTACATAGTGTAGATATATAAGTACACGTGTTTGAACTCTAAAGAGAGAAAGGTCAAAAATGACTTCAGTGACAGAGTGATTAAAGTTTGGGTTAATTTTATTTTGCCTGATAAGTTTACTTCTGGCCGTTGCGAGTTGGCAGCAGAATTGTCATCCTGGAGCTCTGTTTCACAATCTGAAACCTCTTCCCTTGTCTGTGTGTACGAGTGCAGAGACATTCGGGAGTGCTCACAAGTGTAACTGCAAGTTTGCCTCCGAGTGCATAGTCCTGAAATCTTAATATGCTACTTTTTTTCCTCCATAAACAATACAAAGAAGTTGACAGGTCTGAAAGGGGCTTATGTGAAAAGATAATTAAGAGCTTTAGAGAGTGTCAAGAGTCAATAGCTCAGCACTGTCAGCACCAAGGAGTGTTACAGGCTATAATTAGATGGCATGGAGGTGGAAGGTATGTTTGGCAGTTGATTCCTGCATGATCTCCGGCGGAAAAACAAAGAGCTGCCTTCACGAGATACCAGGCGAAGTGGGGAACAAAGGTACTGGAGTTAAACCTTTCAAGTGTCTGTCTGTTTTCCCAGGGTGCATCATTTGGTGAAGAGCTTCTTTCCTTTCTGGTGCCAGCATGGGACATTTGGCCCGCGTTCGTCATTCCCACAATCCTCTTGGCTTTGGGCTGCTGACCTCCCTGTGGCGTGGCGGATGAGACGCCATTTTTGTGGTGCCTGCGGGTCCAACTTGCTCCACGTTCCTGTACTGCCTTCGGACCCAGAAAGTTCGAACTGATTTCGGGCAGAGCTAGTTGATTGCTGATAAGAAGACCTTTTCCAAGGAGCTCTGGTAAGTCCAGAAGAGTTTCTCCATAAGAGGAAATGAAAGTCAAAAGGCATTACAGGACTGGGTAAAGTTGCTCTAAATCATGAGATTCAAAGTTTATAAACAGACAAAAATCTGTAAAATATGTGTTTGAGGGTACAACAATATACAGTATATTCTCACTTCCCCCATTATGATGATCTCAAATATGTATATGTGTGTGTATATATAGAGAGAGAGATACATATCTATCTCCATAAAATTCTTCACAGAGGCTTGTGCTTTAGAGCTTTTAGTTGCTTAGTGTTTTAGATGTACTCAGCCTGTCTGTTTGCTCTCTTGGTGTATTTTTCAGTCAGAGAGCAATACTTTGATATTACTGGTGAAGTTCTACTTCCATCATGTTAAAAGATAAACTGAGGCATATTAAAAGTTTTATGAATTTATTTGAGCAAAACTCAATTGGAATTGGGCAGCATCCAATCTAGCAGAAAGAAAGGCACTCTGATTTTCAGGGCATAAAAGAATGGGAACAGCAAAACTATAGTAGGTAAAAAATTGGGTAGGTTATTGCAAGGTTACTTTCCTTTAGGGGATGCCAGATGACCTAACTAATGTTGATCAACTGATTCCTAATTGAGTGGCTTATGATTCCATTTCTGGGAAATCTGAAACTGTAATTAAGCTAAGTCTTGGTTTGGTGATGCCGGGCTTAGCGTAAGTGACTCCATTTTGGGTTTGTTGTCCTGTTTCCAGCAGTAGTTGCCAAAGCACTGTCCATATTATTGAGCAAAACTGCAAATTTGGGAGTAAACATTCCTGGCCAAAAATGATCTTAAAAGCTTCTTCTGATATAGAAGTTGTAATTAAGCAACAATATTTAATCAAGAAAAGTGAATTTTAATCAATACTATTTAAGTTAAACATGTTAATATAATGACATAAATTGTATAAGTACAAAGTCAGAAAACATTACACAAAATTGGCCTGAAATCAGCCTGTACACCCTTAAAACATAACCATTTTTTAAATGTTTGAAAAATGTATTTCTTACCTCTAAGAACACTGTGATCAAAGAATCATCCCACACATACCTGCTAACTTTTTAGCATTTTCTTTAAAATCTTATGAAACACGTAAGGGTGGTTGAAGTCCCCATCATCTTGTTCCCATCTCCTGTTCCAAAGGCAGTATTTTCATAAATTTAAAAAAAATTTACATACATTTTTGTCTGTATATCTTGACAGTAATAGAGTATTGTTATTGTGTTACTGTGTTTTAAAAGTTCATAAATAGTGTCAAAAAAGGTCCCATTCTGTAATTTGTCTTTTTAAAATTTAATACTGTGGTTTTTTTGAGACCTATCCGTGTTAATATATACCCTGGTTTATTTTCTTAACTACTATATGTTATTCCATTTTATGATTAATGACAACGAGCCTGGAAAGGTAATTTGGGCTGGACTCTGCTAGTCCTCAGGTGCCACACTAAAGACTGCAGACTTTATCTGTGGTGACAGGTGTAAGAGAAACTAGAGGATGATAGGATGTTTCTAAGAATTAAATGGCGCGGAGAGATCTAAGAACCAGAAGAATGAGTGTGGGGAGACTAAGTAAAGTAGGTTGGAGTGGGAGGGCTTTGTGGGGCCCCAGGTTAATCCCACAATTCAGAGCATAATTACCCTATGAGATAAAATGATAGCCCACCCCTGTTGATTAACATTTAGGTAGTTTCTGATTTTTCTCTTAAAAAACAAAACCTATATGAATGTTCATGTATATATGTCTGGATGAGAGAGAGTTGCCCCATGTAGTTGTAGAATATTAACTATACCCATTTGGGCTAATTTTCCATATTGATGGAGTACTTGGGCATTTTGGCTCCCAGAATAAAAAAAGGGAAGAAATCAAAATAGACTGATGTTGTACATAGATGCAATCAACAAATAGCACCTGAATTCACATCTGTTGAAGTTGAATATTGTATCACTTATAAGTTTTCCATCATTTATGATTACGGTTGGGTTACTTTTCTGAAGTCATGCATTTTATCAATGATTCTCAGCCATCTTCTGGAGCTCAACATCCACTCAAAGGTACAGAATTTCAGTGGTCACACTGTCTACAAGTTCAGGTGTCAGGGTCCTTTCTGAATCTAACCTTAAGATCCAGTGACCCAAGATCATGCAGATTTCTCCTCAACCTGCCTCATTATCCAAAAGAGTTTTTACTTGGTTTGGGAGGAAAGAGAAGGGTATGAAGACCAACTCAGGCACATTTAAGAAGAAAGCAAACTTAAATAAAAATAAATGGCATATAGTAGCTTCTGCGATCCTCTCTTCTGCTCCCAAGCAGGTTTGAAAAGAGGTTAGTTAAGTTTTGCATGTAACTCTTAGGACTGTTTACTATTGCTCATTCTTTCCTCATTTTCTCTCATTAGAATCTAATAAGTGTGATATGATAGCTGAACTCAGACTATAATCAGATCAGGATGAGTTGCTTGAGAACGAGATGTTCTAACCCCCTTCTATAAGAAGACCCTGGACAGACAGATGGCTCAGAAACCTCATTGTATCTCATGCAATTGTTATATTACATTTGGAACCATGGTCTTAAGCTGGGGTCCCACAAAACCCTCCTCCTCCAGTAAACTTTCCTTAATGTCCCCACATTCATTCTTCTGATACTAAGATCTTATTGTGCCATTTAATGCTTGGAAACATCTTATCATCCCCTGGTTTCTTCTACATCAGACACTACAGATAAAGTTTGAAGTCTCCAGTGTGGCACTTGAAGACAGGCAGAATGCAGTCCACCCTACATTTCCAGGCTCAGTGTCACCTGTTCTTACTTCTGGATTTAGTGTTCTCCTTGGACACTCATGCCCTCATCTTTCATAGCTCTTCACTTTTGCTATAACCGTTGCTGAAAATCCTAAAAGACACACCTTGTTGAAATCTTGGCCAATGGTTTGTGTCTTCCTTGCTTAAATCCTAGTAACACCTTGTAGACGCTTCTGCTGCATGACCTGTTACCCACAATTATTAGCACTGATGCATGAATCTAAATCCTTCAGAAAATCCCAGACTTCCAGAAGACAAGGAAAATATCTCACTCCCTGTCAGATCTCCCCAACATACCACTGTGCGTATAGTAGGTTCCTATTTAATACAGTGGAAGCTGGACAAGAAAAGGAGTCTTATTTCGCTTATCACCCCTCTACCTTGTGTTCTTAGAACAGCACTTGGCATATGAGGGCTCATAAATATTTTGTATTATATCAAGAGTCGGTAAATTATGGTCTGTGGGCCACATCCAGCTCCATACCTGTTTTTATGAAGAATTTTTGGTATGCAGCCATGCTTATGCCTTTATATATTGTTTATGGATGCTTTCTCTACAACGGCAAAGTCGAGTAGTTACAATAGAGACTCTATGGCCCACAAAGCTGGAAATATTTACCATCTGGCTCCTTGCAGAACAGAGTTCACGGACCAAATAAATGTAAATGGGCTGTGCACCAGGGAGATACAAGACCAGAGAGCAGCATAAAATGTTCCTAAAAATACTGAATTTAGTTATTACTCTGATTTGTCATTTCAAGAGATTGGCCTCCTCTCTATTTCCATCAACATGAAGATAGGCATATATACATTTATTGTCAGCCTCCTTGCCATTATCTGCTGGTGAGTGATTAAAGATAGCTGAGACTGATATTTGAAAGTGAGAGACACACACACATGCATTTATGTGTGTATAGTGTATATATTCATTAATTGTAGGCATCACTTTGGAAAATGCTCAGAAGTATAAATAAAAATTATTACACTCTAATCACACAGTCCGATGTTTTAAAAGTCACACAGATCATTTTAACCAATTGATTTTCAGAGTTCAGTCAAGAAATTTCAGGTTTGTATACATATATTCATTACTAGCTGAACATCCAAAAATGACCTGCATATAATTGCATGGTGACAATATTATAATTCCATTAGAAACAGTGGTACTTATTACATGCTAACTTGTGTTTATCCTGAAACTCCATCACCTGATGAATATGCAATTAACCTACTTATTACCACAGGAAACACCTCCTTAGAAATACAACACATCCACATAATTTTTAACCTGATCTTCAAAGGCTTTCTGCGGGAGAAAATAATTTTTTCCCCAATAAGATGTATTATTGGAAACACAACGGTATGTAGCCAACTCACTACATCATCTGATTTATTTTAATTAGAGGTTAGCTGCTGAATGTGATTACAGTTATAATTATTACAATACCAGTCATCCACATTTCCATTAGCATTCCACTTGATCGTCAGCAATAAGCAGAAATAAAATATTAGGACTTTTAAGAGAAGAGATTACCAATTAGTACAATCCTCCACTGGCACAAGATAATTATTAATTATGATCATCATGGTAATTATTCACCAAGTTAAATTTCACAGGGCTACCGGTGTGCAGATCCTCTCTGCACTGCATTCCAACATCAGCAGCCTTCTTATCTGCTCTGGAAATCCTGAAGCAATATTTGTATTAAATACACAGTTGAATTGCACACCAAATGGGAAGGCAGCTGTAGAGGCCCAGAATGGATCTCCATTTCATTAAAGGATCCCTTCTCTTCGTAGAGTGTTGTGAGGGGAGTATGTAAAAACGTAGACCTTAAGAAAGGTACCTCTATTCACAGACAGACATGTGGGTTGATCACACAGGATACAGTTGAACCCAAATTAACCCTCCCAGTACCAGCTCTTTCATTCTCCTCCTACAACTGCCATTCATATTCGCACCAACACTCTTTATTTTAAGAGAGCCAACAAATGCTATTTGAGGATGGTTAATTACTCAAGGACGAACACTATAAAGAGAAGTTGGAAAAATATCTACAGGCATTGTGGTTTTCAACGTGCTTCCACTTCACTGCTGCAAAGCTGAAATATAAAGGCATTATTTGGCAATATGTACCTTTTTCTATGTAAATGCCTTTATACAAAACCACCATACTCTGCTCAAGGTTCTCTACCTGACATGAGAGAAGTTTAAGAAGGTATAAAGGAAATACCAAATGGGACTCAGGCGCTGGACTAGGATCTGGAAGACAATCAATGCTAGTCTTGATCTTGATCCTGAACCTCCATGGTTACTCTTGAGGCAAGTTGTTGAACCTCTCAGGGCCTCAGGTTCTTTCTGGAGACAACTCTCTCGTCTGCCTTCCTCCTGAGACTGTTGGTAGAGTCAAATGAGATTGTATATGCAGTCATATCTATGAGCTATAAACTGCTGTACAAATCTAAGGCACATTTAAATAATTCAAAGGAACCACATTCAACTAGACTTTTGAATATGTTTTAAGAAAATAATTTAAGAGCATTACATATCACCAAGTCATGTTTTTACTCAGTAGCCAGTGGGAAAAGGCTGGAGTTGCCGGAAATGGAATTTAGGTGAGAAATTAGAGTTTCTTCAATCTCTGGATTGGGAAGTGTTGAAATAAATGATAAAGCGAGGTTTCATTATCTCCTTTTTTTAAAAGGAAAATGCGGATGGCTAATGCTTTGGAAATGAAAAGTAGATGGGCTGGGACAGGGGGGTGGTTGATGGAACAGTGCAATCTCGGAGAATCTCTTTCATACACAGAATCATGTGCCCAGTGCTAGCAGGACGCACTTCTTGCTGTGGTTGTCTTTGTAGTAACTGCACCAATCAACTCTTGCTGACTCTAAATGGGGGAAAAGTAAAGTAAATTTCAAATGACTTTTTTTCATTGCTGTTCATGTTTGCTGCCAATGTTTGCTTCCATGCTTGAAAACATGAGCAGAGATTTGTCTTTGGGAAGAGCTCTATTTCTCTTGTTTAAATAGCTGCTGCCCTAAAGGGAATTGAAAAGAGGTTGGGAACAGCCAGTACCCCATGGCCAGAGGGACAGCACATTTTGCTCGACAAAACAAAGAATGTTTAGAATAAAAAGAAAGCAACCAACGTGGAATGTGTTATTGCTTACCTGCATTTCTTGAATTGGATCAGAAACAAAGACAGACAGACAGGGCTCAAATTGCCTTTGGGCATTTATCATTGTGTTTGGAGAGCCCAGGTTATGAAATATCAGTGTGATTAAAGATTTATGGATATAATAGTCATTTTCTTGTTAATTTAATTCTCTTACAGTTTTTAAAAAATACACATCTTCTATTCTAGGCCAAATTTCTGAAGTATCTGTCAGGAAGAAAATGCTATAATATATGAATTTTTTGCCCTATGAACTGATTATTTTTAGCAGCTTTTTATGAGCATAATAACAGTAATTTTAGCAGCTAATTTACCTAAAATCATTTCATTCCGAAACCTGAAAGCCCCCAAATCAAAAGGTTCTCTTTGTCTAAAAAGTTTAATCAAAATAAATGTTTCTAGTTAGTTTTGAGAGGAAAAATTAGGGTTTCTTCTTGCTCAGATATTTAGTAAGCTCTCAGGGAGGTGTGGGGGGAAGCAATCTGCCTGTCATAGGAGAGAAAAAAAAATTAAAGAGCAGGATTTTTAAATTGTACCTCTTGACACCAATAAATAACAAGAAAGAGCTAGTACCATTCTTTAACATGCGTGCGTACAATACAATAAGCAAATCTGACTCATCTGCCAGCCTGATTGCTTTGTTTAGAATTCCACTGTCAGAGGTAAAGTGGGGGTGAGGGGATTTATGTAAATTAGGCCCTTCCAAGCTGGAAGAAAGTTGGATTACTTAAAAAAACAAAAACAAAAACAAAAAAAAACCCAAAACAAAACAAAATAATTTTTCCAACTTTACAAAGTTAAAAGTGCTTTTGTTTGCACAGCAGTTCTGAATAAGAGTGACTTTTAAGTCCCCAGATTCAGGTTAGAAGTATGATCTGGAAACCACGACGATGAATTTCCACAGATTTTTTCCAAGCTTTGAAGGTAACTGCTCTGTATCTTCCTGCCTTTCTGGCGTTGAGTGTTGGAATGGGGAAATGGGCCAGGGGGCTAGAAGAGGGGGAGTGGATTTTTGGATGAGACATTTAGTCCTGGTTTCTGTATGAGCTGAGTGTCATCAATCAGATTAACCTAAGAAATAAGCAGCTGCCTGTCTGAAGGTTATATAAAGTGATGGCAGCTCCAATTTGTTTATGTTCAATCAGAATTGATAGGAAGGTAACAGTATAGACCCTGGAACGTAACAGTATAGACCCTCTGACCCCTGGAAACCTCTGTGTAGTACCCTAACATTGTGGGCACTTTGTTGGTTTGTTCTAGAGGGCAGTGGGGCTGGCACCTGATTCTCTGACCCCATTTGACCTGACCGTGGGTATTTCACATTCTGGCAGTCTGCGCGCACTTAAATGCTGAATTCAGATTACTTAGAGAATTCTAGGTCCTCTCTGACACTTCGCAGAGAGGGCATTGTTGCAGCGTTGACTGCAAAATAAGAAGTAATAAATTCAAATCCACACCACTGATTGGGGAATCAGAGAGCATGCGCTTCTGGGGAAATTTGGTTTTAGGCAATGGGTGGAGCCTGATGGCATGGAGAAACAGTCCTTTCAGGTGACACCAGCGTTTTCCCTTTCCAGCTCCAGTCTAATCCCAACCAGCCTTGGATTGACCCGCTATGGGGGCTGGAAGTTTTGTGAGAATGCTCTAGCTCTCATAGCAATTGAGGGAGAGGACAAGAAGGGGAGACAACAGGTCTGAAGAATTGCATTCTCCCCTGGAAGAGTGGCCAGGCTAAAGGCCAGCAACAGAGCTCTGGGCCTGTGGTTCTCAGAGTTCGTGGAGAACAAGGGTGGCTTCTGTCTACTCATGGTTCCAGGAATACTCGCTGATCTTCCTCGTCCTGAAGAAGCGGAGACATGGGGGTTTCACAACCTCTGTCTGAGGTGGAGCATGTCACTCTTTGTCCCTAAGGAGACCAAGAACTAATAATAAAATACCAAATGGTTAAATATTTTCTGTATTATTTTTAACAGGACTTCTTATCATTTTCTTATTTTTTTAAATGAAGAAGTGGAATTCAGTCAGGCTATGTGCTGAATCCTCTGTCACAATGGCTAACTTAACATTAATTAACATTTTTTGTCAGGAGCTGCATAAGAGCTAGCTTTGAGCAGAGAAATGGAGAGGCAGGACTGGGTAGGACAAACACAACCTCCCAAAGGATGTTAAACTGGGGGACAGTATTTTTTTAGATGGCTGCGCAAGATTGATGTGTCATTGGTGCCATGACTGTGGAGGCAGTGACCCAAATGAAGCTCATTTTGAAATGGAAAATGTATCTGTTATAGGAATGAAAAAGCACTATCAACTCATTTACACTGTGTTGCCGTGATTTTTCTGTATACATTGCTTAAATTATTTCATTTTCACTAATTTCTGAACAGTAGTGGGATTGAGGCCGGGGTCTACATTTTGTAGTTTTGTATTGGCTGGACAGTTTTAATAAATCCAAAAGTATGAGAGCAAAATTTTTAAAAATTTTGAAAATTATTAATTTGTTTCATAATTATGAGACAATATTTGACAGATATTTCACAGGCATTGAACAACATTGTTCAACAATTTTGAAGAGCCATTTTGAGGAGCCATTTTTGGGAGTGAAAATGTCTCAACAATCCCTGCCCTTGAAAAGGTCAAATTAGCTTTATTTGAAATAATGTGACTCCAAAGACACCCTCACCCTCCTTTTTGTCATCTTCCAGTATATCCACTGGAACTGTCCTGTTAGTGTCCAGATCTCAAAATGTGTTCTTTCAAAGATTCCTCCTAAGAGGAGCTGTGGCCCTCAAGCATAGTATGCCTTGGAGAGTAGCCTGCTTTTAATGATGATAAGAAATGTCACAAAAAAATAATCTATCGCATGTACTTTCTTAGTATAAATATATGAGAAAAGTTTGTTCTATCTTTTTTATTCATTCTAACAGACATTATTAGACATAATGAGCAATATTGTAGAGACTTATACAATAAGTTGAGAATTTGTAGATGGATGATGATCAGGTATAAGAATATTAAAAAAACAACAACACTATTTGGCCCATTGTGTTCTCATTATGTTTAGTTGCCAGAATCCCCCAGATAAGACTTAATTTTCCCTTTTAAATAATCTGTGAATTTATATTTTAAAAATACCTCTTTTCCCATTCCTTTCCAATGTTTTTGATATTTTGATACTTAATTCTATTTTTGATGCTATTTATATGCATGTATTATTTATTGTAATCATGTCATATTATTTTTGATAACCGACTGAGTGTAAACCATAAATAAACTGTCTTAACAAAGTTGTCATGTGGTATATGAAATTCACACTGATGACGAGAACACTAAAGTAAATTTACGTGAGTGGTTTTTCTTTGTTTAATTTAAAAGCTCTCTGCCAAGATTATTGAAACATAGGCTCCCAAATTTTATGACAACAGTAAAACCCGAGCAATATAGAAATTAATGGAAAACTTTCATATTAGACTTCTGATACAGCAGTTCAGAATGGTGGATGAAAGAAAGCCAAGCCTTCACTTTATGGGAAAATATCTGTGTTTAGCAATCCAGCACTAAAATATATTAAGACTTTAAGCTCCAGAGAGACTTCCAACCAGGTTTGATTCTAGGAACTCAAGTTTCAATGATCTGTTACATTGTTGTCCATCTAAAAAACATCTCTTGAAAATCTGTAAAGTCCTAATATCAGAATATATTTTGCATGTACCACAACTAATGTCCTATTTGGTAAACATTCTAACTTTGTTATATACCACCTTCTTTCTCCCCTTTGTATCCTGCCTATTTTATTCCTCTAGAATGCATGTTTTAAGACCACTAAATCTTCTGGTACTATACAATAATAAGAAATAAATGGCAGGGGCCCCTGGGTGGTTCAGTCATTAAGCGTCTGCCTTTAGCTCAGGTCATGATCCCAGGGTCCTGGCATGGAACCCCACATCAGGCTCCCTGCTGGGCTGGAAGCCTGCTTCTCCCTCTCCCACTCCCCCTGCTTGTGTTCCCTCTTTTACTGTGTCTCTCTCTGTCAAATAAGTAAAATCTTAAAAAAAAAAAAAAAAATGGCAGATCCCATCTGGGGATGAATAAATTATATAACTGGAAAATGCTTGGCTTGTATGGGAAAGAACATGTCATTTCTGGGATGACTTGTATGTACATGTATTTGTCGGATAGGGGTGTGTG